ACTCTATCCCTACCCCTCATAAAATTGTTGGCTTGGAAATGACATCGATAAGCAAAACGAAGCCTATACCCTTTCCTCCCCTCTGCTAGAACGATGTTATTTATTCCTGGGGAACATTTGGTATCTTTTGTGGGCTGGGATCAAAGGGACAAATCAGTAAATTTGACGGCAGAAGTTAGTTTGTGCACCGTGGGGCTGCTGTTCCGAACGCCGGCTCCACGCAGGTGCTGCTGGCTTTCGGGCCATGATCTAGTGACTGACAGGAAATATCTGCAGAAATAAGGTGCACTCTCATAGTAATGTGACATTGTATGCGCAGTCCGACTGTTTTCATTACTCTGATTCCAGTCTGGCGAGAAGGAATATGGGAAGCTTGTCAGGGTGACGGTGAAAGGACAACCTTGAAACTGGGCTGCTGCATTTAATAAGACTGGGTGGCAATTATCCGCAAGTGGTTTTTAACACCGCACTTTGACTCCCAACGCTTATCTGGTCAATTCCAAGGTCACGGGGTTTTACTGGGACGAGCGTTTTGGCTAACTGGTATGAAAAGCCAGGCTTCAAGCACATTTGACGGATGCTTTGGGTAGACATGTTTCTCGGGTCTCATCTCCGTTTCCTTTGAAGGGTGGAAGGTATGGCTGTAGAAGGGAACTTCCATACTACAAGCTCCATATCTGCACTGTTCTCTTCAACAGTGGCATTCCGCTAAAAGGAGCAGATTGCTCAAAACGTAGTCTGGAACTATAGGGGCTGGCCACAAAAAGAAACCCTTGCCAGATGCTCTGGAAGGAGCTGGAATGTTTCATGGGTGACGTAAGGGGGGAGGCTGAATGCACCCATATGCTTTCTCTGCCTGGAAGAATGTGCTGCTTGGTGAATGCACAGCTTATTACATGAGGGTGTACACCCCAAAAAACTGGAATTGCACTGGGTAGAGCGGAGCTTTGGTAGAGCGGAGCTTTGGTAGAGCGGAGCTTTGGTAGTACACATTTTCCCACTAGGCGAGTCTTAAGCAACTCGCTCTGAGTTAGTGCACTCGGTGGCGTTGCTTCGGAAAGTTCTCTCTGGTCACAGTGAATTTTTCTGTAAAATCAGCTTCACTCGAACCCCATTTTTTATGATGGCCGATTTAAGAGAACAGTGTACAGCTGTAAAATTTTGTTTCCTACTTGGGAAAAGTGCCGTAAAAACTGTTGTGACGTTGAACACAGTTTACGAGGGCAGTACTATGGGAGAAAACTCAAGTGTACGAGTGGTTTTCTCATTTCAAAAAAGGTGAAATGTCGATTGATGACAAACCTCATTCTGGACATTAGTCAACTTGCTGAACAGAAGAAAATGTCTACTCGTAGTGCATTTGGAGTTCATTCTACCAGATCACAGTGTTAATCAAGCTTTCTTTTTAGGGCAGTGGTTCTCAGCCTTCCTAATGCCGAGACCCTTTAATAGAGTTCTTCATCTTGTGGTGACCCCAAACCATAAAATTATTTCCGTTGCTACTTCATAATTCTCATTTTGCTACTGTTATGAATCATAATGTAAGTATCTGATATGCAGGATGTATTTTCACTGTTACAAATTGAACATAAAGCATAGTGATTCATTACAAAAACAATATGTAATTATATATTGTGAAATATTTATTTCTAATTACAAATAAATGAAATTTTGTCTTGAAGCACGGTGTAGCACGGATAACAGTCTTCACGCCAGGTTTGCTTATGTGGGCGTATCTGCATGTGGGTGGACCCACCTGGAGACGGATAGAGGAGTGGCATCGTGGTTCCTTAGACCATCGGATTTATGTGTTTTCCTATGGTCTTTGGTGACCCCTGTGAAAAGTCGTTTGACCCCCATAGGGGTCTCGACCCATAGGTTGAGAACCACTGCTTTAGAGGATCTGAATGGATTGTATAACAGTGTGTTCGAAAAGGCCTGATTTGAGGCAGACAGGACACTGGTTTTGCCTGCTCAGGCAGCCACCTCAGTGTGCCAGTTTTTGGCAAAAAAATCCAGCATGCCTCTCTTGCCCCACACACCTACTTACCTGACCTTACTCTGTGCGACTTCTTTTTGTTCCAGTGAATGAAGAGGGACGTGAAAGGACAGCGATTTGATGGTGTAGACGACGTGAAGAAAAAAAACGAATGAGGTGCTGTCAGCTGTCCAAACAGATGAATTTAAAAAATGTTTCCAAGAATGGAATCACAGATTAGACAAATGTAATAAGTGTAATGGAGAGTATTTTGAAGATGATAAGGTTGTTGTATTAAAATTTTTTTAAATATATATATAGCTTTCAAAAAAATTCCAATGGAAAAAAATTCCATTAAAAACTATATAGCTTTGAAAATGATTCCAATGCCCCCTCATAGAAGGGATCCTTTAGGTGCTTGCCACTAGTAGTTTGAAGTGGGATGTTCAGGACACACATTTAGTTGTTGTTTTGCGGAGACATAATCTGGGATTCCTAAGTCATTTGTAGGTAGATGGGGTGGAAACACCTGATAAGTGAATGTAGCCAATTTCCCAGGAGCTGCAGCTCGGTGCGGACTCTCTCCTGGTCCACGTACGTGGTCACGCTCTGAAGTTTCTGAGTGTGTTGCTTTCATTTTCAATGTCTTTTATTAGCATAATTTAGGAGCACAACTAACCATGTGCTGCAAGGCTGACTGAGAATCTGAGGTTTCACAAAGACTTCAGGATAGAGTCCTAGTAAATGCCAAAGGACCACTGCACAAGAGGGCTTCCAACGCTGGTGAGAGAAGTCCATTATCTTTTAATTCCATTTTTCCATGATCAAAAAAAA